GCCGTGCCACCCCCGTGGCCCCCCCTTGCTCCTCCAGCCGCCATGCTGCGCCGTCCCCCTCCAGCCGCCCCCGCCGCCCCCCCATGGCTGCGGGCCACCAGCCTGCATCCCCCCTCGCTCCTCCGGCCTGGCCACGGCTGCCGGGCCGTGCTGTGGGCCGCCAGCCTGGGACCCCCGTCCCCTCTCGCTCCTCCAGCCTGGCTGCGGCTGCTGGGCCGCGCTGTGGGCCGCCAGCCTGGGCCCCCCATCGCTCCTCTCAGCCCAGCCGCAGCTGCCGGGCCGCCAGCCTGCATCCCCCCTCGCTCCGACCTCTGGCCCAGTCGTGGCTGCCAGCCCGCGCTGTGGGCCACCAGCCTGCACCCCCCCTCGCTCCTCCGGCCGCTTTTGGAAAGGCAGGGGAAGCGGCTGCTTCCCCTGCACCCCGCTAGCTACGCTAGTGCCTAGCCCATGGCATGGAAAAGCCTTAGAGTTCTCTTCCATAAGCATGTCCCTACATGACTTGCTGGCTCATAAGGTGTAGTCCCTGGCTTCTTTCAGTGGGTTCATTGTACAGCTGATGACCCTTGATGGGCCATTGAACAGGCTAGGCAGTGCTGATGCCAATCTGTCTGAGGGTGTCACACAGAAACACAGCACAAGTTTTGAAATACAGATGTACCCTACACATCTATAACTCATAATACAAAGGTGATACAAACATATAAACAAAATTATCATACTTAACAAATTATAACATTTTCACAGACACTTTACATGGTATATCTGGTCAGATTGCTTACAATTTTATAAATTTGGTATCAACAATATCTTAAAATGTCTCCCATATTTCATATAGCGTCACACCTGGTTTCACCTCTTTTCTTTCTCTGGAGCAGCATTTCCCATTCCCAGACCTGAGGTGATCTCCCAGCTGGAACAAGGGGAAGAACCATGGGGCTATGTGGAAAGGGAGCTCTTCAAAAACACTTGCACAGGTGAGGAATTGGTTAAATGGATTCACAAACCATCCATGATTGGCATAAACAGCTGGGATTCCCACAAAGGGCCCTGAGCTTCTTGCTTTCTGCCTCACCTCACTGAGTTCAGGATTGTCCCCAGCAGGTATTGTGTCCTCATGACATACGTCACTCATGGCTCCTGTCCTTTTCATCTCCCCAAGAGTTATTCCTGTTTGTTCCACCCCTTTTCCGTTCCCCTTCCTGAGCTTCCCTTTCTCCCTGGCACAGGGAAGGACTCATGTCTGGATTCTCTCTCTATCTTAGCAGGTGATGTGTTGGTGGGTGAGAATGAGGAGAAGAAACCTGGGCAGGAAGGTCCTGAGCAAGTGGAACTGCAGGGGACCTTACTGGGAAGACGTGAAGAGGAAGTTTCCCAGAGTCCGGAGCAGGGACATGCCTGTGAGAGTCAGCCCAGACCAGAGAGGCAGCAGGGGAACCACCAAGAGCAGAGATTGTGTAAATCCACTCACCGAGATGGAGATCTGAATAACCTGAATGAAACTACAATCCAGCCAAGAATCTGCACTAAAGAGAAACCGTATGAATGTGCTGATTGCAGGAAAAACTTCAATCGGAGATCAAACCTGATTGTACATCAAAGAATCCACAAGGAAGAGAAACCCTTTAAATGCCTCAACTGTGGGAAAATGTTCAAGGTGAAATCAGACCTTACTAAACATCAGAGAATCCACAGTGGAGAAAGACCCTATAAATGCCCCGAGTGTGGGAAAAGCTTCAGTCGTAGTTCAAAGCTCACTGCACATCTGAGAGTTCATACAGGAGAGACACCCTATAAATGCTCTGAGTGTGGGAAAAACTTCTCTCGTGGCTCAAATTTAATTGTACATCATAGAGTCCATTCGGGAGAGAGACCCTATAAATGCCCTGAGTGTGGGGAAAGCTTCAAGCACAGCTCCTCTGTCTGTAGACATCAGAGAATCCACACTGGAGAAAGACCCTATAAATGCACCCAGTGTGGGAAAAACTTCACTCAGAGCTCAGTCCTCACTAAACATCAGAGAACCCACACAGGAGAGTCACCCTATAGCTGTTCTGTCTGTGAGAAAAGCTACAAGACAAAGTTGGAGTTAATGTCTCACCAGAAACTCTACACAAGATAGAAGGTGTTGGGAGCTCTCCCTGTGGGTAAATGGGTCTGTGCCCTCCTGCAGCAAAGTGTAAATGTGCTGCATTTGAGGAAGGTCTGGGTAGAGTCAGAAGGCGGATTGATGGTTGGGGTTTCAGTGGTGGGAGGTTGGTGGGGGGCCAGAGAGGAGGAAACGCTGGGTACTAGAGAGATGGGTCATTTCAGAGTCTGGAGGGAGCAGGCAAAGAGATTAGTTGGGAGACATTTCTGTGGATTCCACACACACTTTCCAATGTAGAGAAGAGGTAAAAATACCCAGTCGCGGTTTGTGTCTGACCATCTCTGCAGCTCCGAAGGCCCCTCGTGGTGGGGATAAAGGGACATTATTCAGGGAGGCAGCCATGGGGCCTGTAGCTATAAGGCAGTGAGAGCTGCTGATGTGAAGTCTCAGGATTTCAAAGCAGTGCTCAGGGTATGGAATATTTCTGGATACAGAGAGGTGGGCTGCAGATTGGGGAATGTGTGGGGGTGTTATCTGTGGGGTGGGATCTTTGGGGTATTGCACTGTTGCTGTGTGGACAGTATGGTGTAATAGTGAGAGGAGGGAGACTAGGAATCAGGACTCCTGGGTTCTCTTCTGGACTCTGCATGAGGAGTAGGGTCTAATGGGCTAGAACAGGAGAGACAACTATGAATCAGGACTCCCAGGTTCCGTTCCCAGCTCTACTAATATTTACATTTGTGACCTTATACGAGTGGCCCTTCCCCTGAATCTTCCTGCTAGGAAACTTTTAGTGAGCCAAAGGGAAAGTTCATCTGGTTTCCTTTGACCCTGTTTGCAGGGACAGGCTCTGCTCATGTTGTTACACATTGGGATTATTCCTGAAATACAGGAGAACCTCCAAGTTATGAACAAATCGGGAATGCAGGTTGTTCGTAACCCTGAACAAAATGGTATGGTTGTTCTTTCAAAAGTTTACAACTGAACATTAACTTAATTCACCTTTGAAACTATACTATGTAGAATAAATATGCTGTTTTTAACCATCTTAATTTAAATGAAATAAGCACAGAAATGGTTTCCTTACCTTGTTAAATCTTTTTTTTAAACTTTCTGTTTATTTTTTTCTTAGTTTACGTTTAACACAGTACTGTACTGTATTTGCTTTTTTGTTTGTTTGTTTTTGGTCTCTGCTGCTGACTAATTGCATACTTCTGGTTCCAAATGACATGTGTGGTTGACTGTAATGGCCATGGGAGGATTTTATATCTTATTGTCGATGGTCAGGGAGGAGAGAGGGTCTCGTGTTTCTGGAATTTTGGGAGAGTCTTTTTCTTGTTTACATTTGTGCTTCTCTTGGTCTCTGGCTTTCCAAATAAATAATAAAATGTTTGAATGAGTCTCTCATCACCGTGGGCGTCCCACAAGTTTCTTCTTGAGGGGTGGTGGGCAAACTGCCTCAAACCAGGTCAGTTCCTCCCTTATTCACTGCCCCTCAGCAGGAATCGCTCATTCCCCATATCCAGCCCTTTTGCTGATGTTTCTGTCCATCTGGTTTTAAAAGGGGATCTGGGCTCCTCCACATCTTTGCTCTCGTGCCTCTGGGTTCAGTCTCTGTCTCTTCCCTTCCCCTGTCCAGCAGGTTTAATCAGTGCAGGGGTTAAACAGCCTTAGAGGTAGAGTTCAGGATCTGTGGCTTGGGCTGAGCCCCAGAGGTCGCTCAGAACTGAAGCATCTGGTCTCTGCCAGGCTAGATAGCCAGATGCTCCTGGATAGGGAGCAGCCCATCTCCTTTTCCCCAGCAGCATCTCCAGTGTCTCCGTGCCTAGCTCAGTGAGGAGTCCCGTGACTCCCAGGCAGAATTGTTACATTTCCCCATGAATGCAGAAGAGCTGCAGGCTCTCAGCCATCCTGGTCAGACTCCATCCCAGGCCTTCATTTCCTATTGGATGCCTGCTCCTGCTCCCAGTTTCCTTATGGTTTCTCTGATGCTCTCGCTCCTTCAGTGGTAACTGTTGTGATAACCAGGCCTACAAATTTACCCCTTCCCAGAGCTTCCAAGGAAGAGGATGAGTGGTATCTCCTGTTGTGACACTCTGGCCTTGGCTACACTTGCAGATGTACAGCGCTGTGAGTTAAACCTGACTTCATGCAGCTGAGTAGGGAGAGCGCTGCAGTCTGTCCACACTGACAGCTGCCCAGCACACTGTCATGGCCACATTTGCGGCAATTGCAGCGCTATTGGGAGCGGTGCATTATGGGCAGCTATCCCACAAAGCACCTTTTCCCATTCTGGCGCCGTGGGTTCTGGGAAGGGGGCGTGGGTGCGGGGGATTCTGGGTCCTGTCCCAATGCCCCGTGATGCATCGCTTCGCATCCCAGAAATCCCTTTGTTTCCATCCATCTTTGGCACCATCTTTCAAAGGTTTCTGTGCAGCGCGATCTGTCTGCGGGAAATGGAGTCCGAACGGCTGAGGCATATGCTGACGAGTCTCGCCAGCACGTCGCGTTTGGCTGTCGAACTATTCCTTAAGATCCAAAGTGACAGTGAGAGTGAGGGTGAGGAGTCTGACGATGCTATCGAGCCGCATAACGCATATGACACGAAATTGCTTGTGGCATTCACGGACATGCTCAGCACCGTGGAACACCGCTTTTGGGCTCGGGAAACAAGCAGTGAGTGGTGGGATCACATTGTCATGCAAGTCTGGGATGATGAGCAGTGGCTGCAGAACTTTCAGATGAGAAAAGCCACTTTTATGGGACTGTGTGAGGAGCTTGCCTCCACCCTGCGGCGCAAGGACACGAGATTGAGAGCTGCCCTGCCAGTGGAGAAGCGGGTGGCTATTGCAATCTGGAAGCTGGCAACTCCAGACAGCTACCGGTTGGTCGATAACCAATTTGGAGTGGGAAAGTCGACCGCTGGAATCGTGTTGCTGCAAGTTTGCAAGGCCATTAATCGCATCCTACTCAGAAAAACCGTGACTCTGGGTAACGTGCAGGAAATAGTGGATGGCTTTGCACAAATGGTATGATTCTCGCTTTGGGTGCGAGAGGTCCCGGGTTCAAATCCCGGACGAGCCCTCTTTGGGGGAGGGATAGCTCAGTGGTTTGAGCATTGGCCTGCTAAACCCAGGGTTGTGAGTTCAATCCTTGAGGAGGCCACTTAGGGATCTGGGGCAAAATCAATACTAGGTCCTGCTAGTGAAGGCAGGGGGCTGGACTTGATGACCTTTCAAGGTCCCTTCCAGTTCTAGGAGATAGGATATCTCCATTAAAAAAAAAATAAAAAAAAATGGGGTTCTCTAACTGTGGAGGGGCGATAGATGGGACGCACATTCCTATTCTGGCACCACCCCACCTAGCATCCGAGTACGTTAAGCGGAAAGGATATTTCTCTATGGTTCTCCAGGCGCTTGTGGATCACCGTGGGCATTTCATTGGCATTAACACAGGCTGGCCCGGAAAGGTGCATGACGCACGCATCTTTCGGAACACTTGGCTGTTCAGGAAGATGCAGGCCGGGACTTTTTCCCCAGAGCGGAAGATCACGGTAGGGGAAGTTGAAATGCCCATTGTGATCCTTGGAGATCCCGCTTACCCATTAATGCCATGGCTCATGAAACCCTGCACAGGGAGCCTTGACAGCAGCAAGGAATGGTTCAACTACAGGCTCAGCCGGTGCCGAAAGACTGTGGAGTGTGCCTTTGGCCGTTTAAAGGGCCACTGGCGATCTCTGTATTGGAAGCTGGACTTGACCGAAAACAGCATCCCCACGGTTATATCCGCGTGCTGTGCCCTCCATAATATTTGTGAAGGGAAGGGTGAAACTTCACTCAGGCATGGATCTCCGAGGTTCAACACCTGGAGGCTGAATTTGCACAGCCAGAGAGCAGGGCTATTACAGGGGCCCAGCGCGGGGCTGCAAGGATTAGGGATGCCTTGAGGGAGCAATTTAAGGCTGAAAACCACCAGTGATATCTGGTGCCCTGCACGGGAGTGAAGTGCAGTAGTTCCAATCTTTAGGAATCAGTGTTTGCTAAGCAGACAAGCAGACTTGCAGTGCCTGTTTATTTCCTGGGCTAAGGAGTCTTTTATTTTATGCAATAATAAAGAATGTTTTCAAAGCCAAAGAATCCATTTATTGAAAAGAAACAAGGGGGTGGAGTGGGGAACAGTACAATCACAGATTCGCGTATGTCCTGTCTGGTGTGCTGTGCAGTGAGTGCTGCACTTCAGGACAGCTATACTGCATGGTGTTGGGGGTTGAGTGCAGAGGGTAAGGGTCATGGTTTTCAGGGCTGGGTGGTGAAGATACTGGTGTTGGAGGCAGCGGGTGGTGTGAAGAACACGGAAGTTGGGGAAAGTGGGTTGGAGGTGACAGTGGGGCACAACGGAAAGAGTTTTGGGACAAGGGCTGCGGGGG